AAAGAATGCCACGCTCAAGTGTTCTACACAGAGCAAGCAGGTTAACAACTAAATAAATATTTCTTTGTTTAATTAATGGTGGTAGTAGCAACAATGGAAGGATATAATAAGGACAAAAGAGGCTAGAAGCTTCAAGCTACCAGGACTAGTCAGATACGTAGAACTCAATGGATCTGGAAATTATTAGAGTTCCCTCAGAATCAGATTTAGATAGGATTTCCCTGGCCCTAGGAAAAAAGAAAAGAACATTCCTGGGGCTCCAGAAAGCAGATGGGATCAAGAACTGCGTATAGATGCAAAACAAGCAAAAAAAAAGTCCTTACAAGACAGGGAGAGACTTAGATTAGCCTCAGTTTACATGAAAACATTCAGGTGACTACAAACTCAACGTCAGGCAGCAAGGCCAGCATGACAAAAGTTCATGCTTCCTTGCTTGAGCTGCATTCAGCATAGGGGAGGTGAGAAGCATGCTGACCTCAGCCCTGATTTCTCTCCACCTGAGAACTATGATTGGATCTGGGCAAAGACAATAACAAACTGTCCAAGAGAGTGACAGGCACTGAAAAGGAACTTCAGACTATACATGAAGAGTTTAAAGATTTAGAGATGTTTAGCCAGGACAAGTGAAGACTCAAAGGGCACATAATTACCCTTACCAGATCTACAGAACTCTTAGGAGGAACAGACTTGTTCTACATGGCCTCAAAAGGCAGGAGGACCAAATCAAAGGAAGTCATGATATAAAGAACAGTTTGGTCCTCAATGAAACAGGCTGCCACAGGAAGGATCAAATTTCCCATGACTGGCAAATGTCCAGGGGAAAAGAATGATCAAAACCAAGTTACCCTAAGCCTTACTTGAAAGAATGCTCCAGAATCAACCCCTGAGACAAGCGATGAGCAGCTAAGAATAGACAGCAGAGCTTCCCAGGGAAGGTCCACATTTACTTAAGGTCAGGGCTGATCAGGATCATTAAGAACATTCTAAGGGAAGTAAGTCTTGCCTGGCTTCAATTTACCCACGTAAGATGTTGCCCTTTCTACTTCACATCTGTTGGAGAAAGCAGCATAAAACAGTGGAAGAGCACTGGCTCTCGAATCACAGGACATCGGTTCAAAACTTGCCTGGCTCTTAGACTTGTTTGAACCTGGTCAAGTCAATCAACTTCCTCATCTGTAAAATAAGGGGAGGTTATTTTAATAATAAAGGGCAGGTAGGTGGCACAGTGGATAGAGGGCTGGGCCTGGAGTCAGGAAGACTCATTTCCTGAGTTCAAAGTAGTCCTCACATTTACTGGCTGTAGGACCCTGGGCAAGTCACTTAACCGTCTCCTCATCTGTAAAATGAGCTGGAGAAGAAAATGGCAAACTACTCCAGTATCTATGCCAAGAAAACCTCAAATGGGGTCACAAAAAATGGGATGTGACTGAAAAAGCAACTCGACAACAACAAAACAAGGGGATTAGACCATATTCTTTCCAACTCTACATCTATGATCCTATGAATGCAGAAATGTTGTATAACTAGCTATGTGCAGTTGATGAGGTGGAAATCCTCTGTACTTTGGTTGGAGAGCTAATTCTTGAAAGGTCAGGGAAAGAAATATCAGAATCCAAGACTTGAGACCTTCTGTTCCATCCAGGCCTCTCCAGTTCTTCTTTATCTTCTCACAAGTCTCAGATCCCACATCTTCTATACCCTGGGCCAGTGTATATTATTCAAGCCTCTGTTTACCTCTAGGACTCATCCTCCCAAGTCAAAAACCTCAGCCCTAGGCTACTCCCTCTGTTCTAGTCCTTCTCCTAGACACAAGGCAGTTTCCCACATTGAATGAAGCAACCCTCTTGATTTCCACTTCCCCCCAAATCCCTGTCTCCGTAAATTCACTTTCTCTGCTCCTACATTCCTTTGCTTTGCTCCTATATCGACTTCCCAACTCCCTATCCCTCAACCTCTAGTTTATTCATAAAATTATATACTAATCCCCTTCTGTGGAGGGGGACATTAAAATCATATTTGAATGCTTCTGTGGTGGATATGACACTGGCTTAAAAATCAGGAGACCTGAATAATAGTTTCAGTTCTGCCACTTAGCAACTCTATTCATTCAACAAGCATTATTAAGGGTCTCCTTTGTGTCAAGTGCTGTGCTGGGTGTTGGGGATACAAATTTCAAAATAAAAAAGCTCCTTCAATCAAGCTTACATTTGATTGAAAGAAGTATGTTAAGGTGATTGTAGTATGAGCAGAGACAAAGAAACAAATGGGAAAGATGTGAAGGTAGAATTAACAAGACTCAGTAATGAACTGGACATGGTGGGGTGAGGGAGAGCTAAGGAAGACCTTGAGATTTGCACCCCTGGTTGATGGGAGGCATGGAGTAGATACTGTGGACAGAAACAGGGATATCAGGAAGTAGGGGGGTTTGAGGGGTAGGGGAATGGAGGAGTAAATGGAATGAGTTTTGTTCTGAAAACGCCTGAACTTCAGCTGCCTAGGAATATCCAGCTGAAAATGTTTAATCGACAGTTAGGGATGAGAAACTGGCCCTGAAGAGAGAGACTAGGACTGGATATAGAGATGTGGAAGTCATCTAAATACAGATGTGCCAGTTAATTGAATCCATTCCTGGGAGATGATGGGAATACCTGAGAGAGAACATAAAGCAAAAAACAGAGCTTTCAGTGTCAATCACAACACAGAGGTTGAGACATGTATGATTCAGCAAAGGCGCTCATGGGTGAGAAGAGAAGATGAGAGATTAGTGTCTGGAAAATCCAAGGAAGAAAGAATATCCAGGAGGGAGCAATCCAGATGGGTCAAGAAGGATGACTGAGAAAAAGCCATAAGACTTGGCAATTATGAAGTCCTTATCATTGGGAAGCTCTGAAACGTTTTAGTAGAATGATGAGGTTAGAAGCCAGGTTAAAGGGACTTGTGAAATGAGAGAAGGCAAGATAATTATTACACATTGCTTTTACTAGAGATTTAGCTGAGGAAGGGAGGAGAATTATAACATGAGATGATAGCAGAGCTGAGTGAAGGTTTTTTAAGGATGTGGGCATGTTTGTAGGCAGCAGGGAAAAAGAGAAGTCATAAGATGAGATTGAGACTTAGAGATGGGATGATTAAGGGGGCAATCTGTCAGAGGAAAAAAGGATGGAATCAAGGGCACAAGACCAACAGATGGCTTAGGAGATTCATTAGGGACAGCAGCAAAGGAGCAAAAAAAAGTCATGAGTGTGGGGGGAGAGGATAAACTAGGGGTTTTGAAATGCAGAATGGGGAAGAGGGAATTTACAGTGAATGACCTGTTTTCTCAGTAGAGTAGGATGTGGAGATCCTCTGCTGAGAGGGAGGGAATGGCTTAGTAGGCTTGAAGAAGAGAAAAAAAAAGTCTGGAACAGCCACTGTAGGAAGTGTGATAAAAAGTCTATTAAGAAACAGTAAAAGATTGCTGTGCAGTAATGACAGCCCCAAGTGCAAGTAGGTGGTCAAGTAAATAGAACGCTGGGCCTAAAGTCAGGAAAATTGAGTTCAAATCCAGCCTCATACACTAGCTGTGTGGCCCTGGGCAAGTTACTTAACCCTATTCACCTCAGTTTCCTCATCTGTCAAATAAGCTAGAGAAGGAAATAGCAAACTACTCCAGTATCTTTACTAAGAAAATCCCAAAAGGGGTCACGGAAAGTCAGACAGGACTAACACAACTGAACAACAATGAAGAGAGTGACAGCCTAGCTGAGATCAGGGAGTGAGGTTCAGCAGGGGGTTAAGTAAGAGCAGGGAAGACAGATGGTAAAGATAATCCAGTGTTAGGGGTTGGCAAGACATGAGGTTGTGAGAAGGACAAAAGGGCAAGGGATTCCAGAGAAAAAGACGTGTATAGTTATACTGGTTGAGAATCAAGTTGGGAAGAGAAAAAAATGAACCCAAAGGGAAGAACCTAGAAAACACGAAGGGATAGAAGACCTGGAGGTCATAAAATACAGTTTAGAAGGCAGAGATAAATAGGAATAGGAGGTTAGGTCTCCTGAGCCCCTATTTACTGGTTTTCCCAATCTCTCAGAGTTCTTATGATGACAAAATAGGACAAGGTAAGTGAAAGATGATATAAATGGAACTATTACTATTACTACAGAAAAGGTGAAGTTCTCCTGACCTAATCCCTTCACCCAGGAGCCGCTCTCCTCATAACTCCAATCTCTCAGGTTCTTAACCCCACTCCCCAATTTCACTGTTCCCTTTTCTTCCATTTACTTCCTTTTCTACTTTCTAACATTTCACAATTTATAATTGTGGCATTCCCTTCTTCTCAGCCCTAGAGTCCCCATCTCTAGTTTCTGTTTCTTCCCCTTCCTCCAGGCCTCCATCTCTCCAAACAAATCCACCCAGGCCACCCAGGCTCTCCATCTCTATTCTGTCTTCTTTGGTTTTCCCTAGCCCTTATGCAACCCTAGTCCATCTCCCCAACTCTCTACTACGCCTCTCCTTCCAAGCGCCCCCCCCACTTCCTTCCAGGACCACTGGGATCCCTTTCAGTTCCCACAATCCTCCAGAGCCTAATCCTCCTCCCCAGTCCGCTAAACCTTTCCACACACACACACACACACACACACACTCTGTAATAAGGAGATTTATAAACTTAAATACATGTCAGTTATTACTCCCTTCTTCCCTCGCCTATATCTCTTCTAGGGGATGCACTGCCCCACCTCCTAGGTTCCATATCCCTCCAAACCCCCCAGAAGCCTCTTCCCTCAGATCTTAGTCTCCACTCCCCAAGGCCGCCTCTTTCAGTTACAGTTCCACTCGTCCCGCACCCCCAACTTCTCAGGACTGTTCCCAGACTTTTCCTTCAGCTGCTCCAGCTCTGCAAGACCCTTGCCAGTTTCGGTCCAGCACCTCACCCTCAAGGCCTTACATGAACCCGCTCCCCTCTCCTTGGCCACCCCCAGAACCGCTCGGGGACTCCCGGTGTCCCCCCACTGCGGTCGCACCTGGTCCGAGTCCTCGTTGTCACTGCTATAGCAGCACCCCATGGCCGGGGCCGGCTCTGGGAGCTCAGATCTAGAGGATCGGCGTCCAACAGGAGCTCTTTCTCGTCACATGACCCGCGACCGCGGCCCGCAGGCTCCCACCGGCCGCGCTGCCGCCGCCGCAGCAGGCAGAATCGCTAGGCGAACTGTTTCCGGTGCCGGAAACTCGCCCCGACCCTCCCCACCTCGCTTTACCCAACCCCCACTCTCATGTGACTGCCCTATAGCCATGTGACACCAGAACAACCAATAGAATGCTCCCGTTCCTCGGGGGCTCTCCTCCCTCCTCAGGATCTGAGGCCGTCCATAAGAGGCTTCTTCCTCTCTTCCCCAGTGTCTCAGGAAAACCGATAACAATCCCGACCTCCCCTGATCACGTGACACACGTATCCAGTAACAGGCCCGCGGGCCTCTTCTTGCCATGTGACAACCAGAAGCCAATAGGAGGACCCTGTTTATCTTTTCCTTTTCTCCCCATCTCAAGAGCCGGCCACTGGTCTTCAGAGAGCGCTTTGATTCTTTTGACTTTCCCCCACGCCCACGTGCTCAGAAGCAGCCAGTAGGAGTTGGGTAGTGTAAGCCCCAGTTTCACGTGACGTCAAAGGAGGGGGCGGGAGGACCTGCAGAGGGTACCAGTGGGCAGGGTGGTGGCCCTTCGCGTCTCCTCCTACTCTTGGGCGTCTACCTCACTTCTTCCAGGGCACAAAACGGTGCAGGGTTTGAGTCCCCATTCCCGGCAGTTTGAGACATGGGAGACCCAGGACACCCGTACCTCTTACCAGAACCTCCGCAAAACCACCTCCAGAAAGCCCCGTTTCCAGGAAACTGTAAGCTCCTTGAGAGCAAGGGCAAGGATGCCACATTATCTGTGTGTAGATGGGTATTTATGTACATGCATATATAATATATGTATGTTCCAACGCCTAGCAAGATTCTCTCTACACAGTAGATGCTTAATGATACCCATTAGATTCCCTCCCCTCTTCCCCCCATCGTTGTGCCCCATGTCATGATGCTTGCTCGAGGGGGGTAAGGTCTTAGCAAACTCCTATAAACCAAGTTTTGGACCCCGGAACTGGCAGGACTTCCCCAGCTGGCTGACCTGAAAACGTTGCCCTCTTCAAATCAGCCTGCACTTTAGCTGCTGTCATTGCCGATCTAGAGCTGAAAGGGTATATTCCTGGGGACCCTGCTATTTAGTAGCTACTATGTGTGTTGCTTATCTGTTTTAGGATGTAATACTACTGCTCATGATCTTTACCATCTCCCACCAGATTTTGAAAAGATTGTACTCTAAACAGTGCCTACTAGATGGAACGTAGTCTTTATGTTTGCTAAGATAGGATTTTTTTCCTGATCATGTGGGGATTTTTTGGTTTTTTATTAATTTATTTTGATTTCTCAACAATCATTTCCATAAGCTTTTGAAGTTTTAAATTTTTATCCCCCTCCCTCCCCAAGATGGCACGAAATCTGATATAGGCTACACATATACATTTCTATTAAACATTTTCACATTAGTCATGTTGTAAGGAAGAATTAGAACCAATAGGAGGAACCACAAGAAAAAACAAAACAGAAGATAAAATAGCAAATAATATACTTCGATGTACATTCAAATTCCATAGTTCTTTCTTTGGATGTGGATAGCATTTTCCATCCTGAGACCTTTGGAGATGTCTTAGATCTTTGCATTGCTGAGAAGGGTGAAGTCTCAAAGTTAGTCATCGGACAATGTGGCTGTCACTGTGCACAGCGTTCTCCTGGTTCTGCTCACTTCACTCAGCATCAGTCCATGCAAGTCTTTCTAGGTTTTTTGGGAGTCTGTCTGCTCATCATTTCTTTCTTTTTTTTTTTTGTTGCTTATCATTTCTTATAGCACAATAGTATTCCATTACATTCATATAACACAACTTGTTCAGCCATTCCCCAATTGATGGGCATCCTCTCAATTTCCAATTCTTGGCCACTACAAAAAGAGCTGCTGTAAATATTTTGGTACATGTGGGTCCTTTTCCCATTTGTATGATCTCTTTGGGATACAGCCCTAGAACTGCTACTGCTGGGTCAAAGGGTATGCACATTTTTATAGCCCTTTGGGCATAATTCTAAATTGCTCTCCAAAATGATTGGATCATTTCACAGCTCCACCAATAATGCATTAGTGTTTCAATTTTCCCACATCTCCAACATTTATCATTTTCCTGTTTTGTCATGTTGGCCAGTCTGATAGGTGTGATGTGCTGTAAGGAAGGTGTTTTAAAAGTTCTTTTTCTCTCTCTTAAAGCAATCACTGGTACTTGGTTATATATAAAACTATTACAACCAGTTGATAACCTTTTCCTATCTTTTTGTCAGAATCAACAATTTCTTTAAATAAGTCAGGTTGGAGTTACTTTAATTGCTTGCCATCTTTCTCTTTTTATTGTTCAATTCTGTTTTAACTTTGATTGCTACTCCATGGATTGACATACACTGCCAATTCAGGAATGACTCCCAGTTATTTACAGTTAACATCTAATTAATTTTATTTGTAGTACTCCCATTGGAATTTGGACTACTTTACAAATAATTGATCCTCACAACAATTCTTTTACTTGGTGCTATTATTATCCCCATTTTACAGTTGAGGAAACTGAGGCAAACAGATTAAGGGACTACTCAAGAATCATACAGCTAGAAGCATATAAAGTCTTCCTGACTCCAGATCCAGTACACCTTCCACTGCATCACCTTTTTGCCTTTTAGGATGAGGTACTGGGTTTTTAGAACTGAACCAAATGTATGAATCTTTGTGTTTCTCTTGGCTCCTGGGTTTCCATTTTCAAAATGTCTATTCGGGTTCTGATATTTTCAGCAGCAGTGTTTGAAAATCTTCTATTACCTGAAAGTTCCATTCCCCCCCCCCCGTAGGATTATACTTAATTTTGCTGGATAGATTCTTCTTGATTATAAGGCTTTCATCTTTTCTCTTTGGGTATATTATATTGCAACCTCTCCTCCCCGTTTGGGGGCAGTTGCCAAGTATTATATGATTCTGACTGTAGCTTCTTTGTACTTGAACTTTTTTTTTTTTGACTACTTGTAGGATTTTTTTCCTTGACCTAGAAGCTCTGGATTTTGGTTCTGATGTTCCTGGTAGCTTTCATTTTTTTTCCAGGAGGTGACCAGTGGATTTTTCTATTTTAAGTTTGCATTCTGGTTCTCAAGAGTTCTAGGTCATTGTCATTTATTATTTCCTGAAATATGGTATCCAGGCTCTTTTTCTGGTCCAAATTTTCAGATATTTTGATAATTTTTAACTCTTTCCTTGACCTTTTTGCAAGGTCAATTATTTTTTATATTATATTACTTACATTTTCTTTTTTAAATTTTAAAATTTGTTTTACTATTTTTTATTGTCTGAGTATTGTTTTCTATTTCAACAATTCTAATTTTCAAGACATTCAGTTCTTGGACTATTTTTTTGGGAGGGGGCTAGGCGAGGGGGTTAAGTGACCTGCCCAGGGTCATACAGCTAGGAAGTGTCAAGTGTCTGAGGCAGGATTTGAACTCAGGTTGACTTCAGGGCCAGTGCTCTATCCAATGCGCCACCTAGCTGCCCAAGACATTCAGTTCTTGGGCAAGGTAAAAAGAAGGCTTTTGCAAGCAACATCCAATAATGGCAAATATCTTTACCATTTTGTAATTAACTAAAATGTGTAGGGAATATAAGATCCTGTTGTCTTTATTGATCATTCTTTAAGAAAAGCATTTGATTCAGGATAGCAAAATATTAATTTTTATTGGTCCTTTCCAACAAAGTGTCACCCATCTATACATCAAAAATCATTTAAGATTCTCTGAAAGATATAACAGAAATAATAATACTGATCATAAACATCAAGCAAAGTATAAAACAAAGGTGCTCACCATTATGATGGAAATGATGTTCTGCAGAGTCCATGATGAAGAGGATTTCTGTGTGGATGATAAAATCCTCCTAATGTTCCTGTTTATGGATGGCATTGTACTCATTGCCATAGTATGCCACAATGCCTAGAATATTGCAAGCCTCCTGGAAAAGTCTTGCAACTACTCACAAGAGTTAGACCTGGCCGTTCACACAAGAAAGATCAAATGAATGAAGATTAAGACTTGCATTGAATGGAAAACCTATAGAGCTTATCTATGAGTATGTACATCTGGTCAGACTATACAGATAGAAGATGAATTGAGCCCAGAATTGAAGGGGATGTGAGGAAAGTGGAAGGGGTTGCCTTTGGGAAATTACAAAGCTCCATTAATCACCACAACCTTTCCATGGAATCAAAGGCATGTCTTTTTAACATCAACATTGCTGAATGGCATCAAGACATGGAATTCAACAGTCTCTGAAGAATTAAAATTTAACGCTCACAGAGCATAATGGAGAGATGCATGGTGGGGGTGAACAGACAGTCAAGAAACTTTGACAAAGAACATGAGTAAAAATTATAACCAAGGAAACGTATGATGGGAAGGGAAGATGTGTGGGTCATGCGAAAAGAGGTAAAGGAATAACAGATTGCTCTCCTGATAACTTCTGGATGTCAGAAGAAAGGAAGGGCTCCAGCATATTGGGTGGACCCTCTGTGACAAACTCATGGAAAGATACGGATGAGACTCACATAGGATAGGCAGGTATTAATTGGTTGTGATCTGCATTCCTGGAGGGAATTCGCATCCTTTGAAATAACTCTTGAGAGGTGGCATAGCATAGTGGAATCAAAGCATGGTTTCAAGACTTGCCTCTGACTCACACTAACTGTGAGAACATGGGCGAGTCACTTAATAACTAAGGGATGTTTTCCACACTCAAAATTCACCATGTGAATAAAATCACAGGTCCAGATCAAAAACAAAAATCATATCCTTGACTTAAAAAAGTCAGTTGAACCCAAAAGATTCCACCACTACATTTATACCTTAAGGAGGCCATTATAAGAAGAAATCCCCTTATCCACAAAAATGTTTATAACAGCAATTTTTGTGACAGAAAAAAACTGGAAAGAAAGTAGATGCTCATTGATTGGAAAAAGGTGAAACAAATTGTAGTACATGAATGCAATGGAATATTATACTGTAAGAAGTGATGAATATGATGAATATAGAGAAGCATGGAAAGCTCTACATGAAGTGATGCAGAATG